TTTGCAGAACAGCGGGTTCAGACTTCTTGGGTGTGAGCGATATGACTGGCCCAAGTCAATGCTCATCCGTGCCACAATTTATGACCAGCGTTAGGAGTAATCACTTGAATGGCCCTGGTACTCCTCTTATCAAAAGCATAGATGTTGTCATGTTGATCAAATTGTTTTTCTAGAGGTAGTCTATACTTTTGATAGTCCTTGCTTGATTTTGGAAAAGAACAGGATGTCACTATCACAATTATGTCACAACTACATTCAACTCTATTTCAAACCTGATATGCCACAGCGCAGGATGGATGTAGAACTGAACATTAGCCTTTGTTGAGAAATAGAGGAAATAGTCAAGAAGTGAATGGGAAACACTTATACTTAGATTGCTTTACTAACTTTTTGTATTTCTGGATTTGATGCCTTCAGAATGATGAGAAACTACCTTTTTTTTGTTAATTGTTACTCCCTTCAATCCTTCCTTGCATTTTGAGCATTGCTGATAGTTTGTGAAATTCCTCTGTATGACAGGGGAACACACCTTGCAGAGCATTGCAGGGCTAAATAACCCAAAGGTATCAAATTTTGTCTTATGGATTCTTGCAGAACTTGCTGTTGTTGCATATGAAGTAAACTGCAATGGTCTCTGAAGTAAATTATGAAACAAATATGCTTTTTACTGAAACAAAACTTTCGATTATTTTTTTGTTAAAAAAAAACTCTACTGTAACTAATATGTTCTTTTTACTCCTGTATTCTGCATGTTCTTTAAACTTAAGTCCTTTTGCTACTAGATACGTTAGAATATTTTATTGGCCTTGCTAAAAGATGTTTGTTCCTGCAGTTCATACTTTGATAGTCATTTGTTTTTATGATACCGATTTGGTGTAGCTGCACAAAGAATATATTTGTTTATGCAGTATATAGTCATCTTGTATTCTTGTTTATTCTGTTAGATGGGCTTGCCTGACCAAAGAATATAATATTTGATAATGCAACTATATATCTACTATATAAATTATCCAATCCTTTCGTATCACGTGGTGTCCCTGAATAATTGCAAATCTATATTTTTATCAGCCGGCCACTACTGACGATTTCAGCGAATTGGTATTCAGTCTTATTTGTAATCAGGCGCATGATTTTCAAAGTGAGGTTCTTTTGGGGTAATTCATTGAGTTAATTTATTGACTACAACACTAACCCAAAAGTTTTTTATTTGTTTATAAGTCTACGCGATCGTCTGCTTGTTGATGAAGCCAGACGTCGCCGAGTTCAAGAATTTGCTAAGGACACCGTGTCGCGTCTCATAGATTTAGAGAACTAAATAATATTGAAATTATTTACACGCTTATGACATGCACTTTGAATAGATGATGGACATGAATTTAGTTTAATATAATAGTCATTTTGTGTATTTTCATTGGTCAAACAGGTTCAAAATATGTGGATTGAGCAATGTTTGTCTGACATATTTCATTACTTCATTTAGTTTGTAATATCGGAGACTTCTTTCCTATATAAAACATTATTTTAGCCGTGTCATGGAAAGGCCTATATAGTAGAGTTTGTGAGCCTGTGGTGCCGTGCTCTTAGTGACTGTTAATTTCACAAACTTTGCTTTTTGGATTAAATGCCAGTTTAATATCTTACATTATTGTTATCTTATCGTGCGATCCGTGTGTTTTTAATACAAAAGTTTAGTTATTTCGTAGCAATGCACGGACACGCTACCTAGTCAAGTTGACAAAGTAGCAAAGCCATCACCCGTACCAGACAATACACTAGTGTTAAAAGAAGTCCATGTGTTTACTGAATGGGTCTAAAAATTACGAGATTAAACTAAAAAAAGCAAAAAAACATCATTAGATTTTATCATGATCTAACAAATTAAACTAAATCAAAGAATTCACACCTAATAAATTTAACATAAAGTAAATTTGCGGTAATAAATTAACAGGAGTAGAAATTGATTTCCTTACAAATTTTGAAATAAAATACCTAAATAAAGAATCCATGTGTAAAACACAATCAATAAAAGACAAAATTTGAATAAATTAAAATATTCTTAAAAATAATATTTTGATCTCCAGATGAATTGAAAACAAAAAATATAAATAAATAGTCTATAAGTTGTAATTAGAAAGTATTTAAATTTAACATTGAAAAATAGTAATCTGATTTCCCTATGTTTGAAGAAATACATAAATAAAAAAATCAGCATATTAGTATAAGTAAAGTTATTAAGTCATCTTTTTTACTCCCAAGTGCTAAAACTAGCACATGATCTTATAGATCAAGATTGTAATGGTTTAGCGAACTTTACGATCAGTTCGCTAGGTTTCTTGTGGTGAAACTTGCTCATCCGGATTCAAGTCATCGACTTGGCATAGGTGTTCGCACTTTCATGAATTTATTCCAGAATTTAACGCGCTATGCTTTCAGTGGTAGGCGACGTCCCAAATCAACAATGAGACGCCAGCGGTGACTTCATGAATCTCGAGATCTGTCGGCTTAGTTCTTCGAATGTGCTCATAGGGGTAGGGTTTGCGTACGCGTGTTCATAGGGGTGAGTGTGCATACGTGTTGTTGACGTCTTCGAAGGTGCTCATAGGGGTAGGGTTTGCGTATGTGTATTCATAGGGGTGAGTGTGCGTGCGTGTTGTTGGCGTCTGCGTTCTACCGTGTAATTCTGAAAAAAGATTGTTTTGGTTTATATCCGCCAAAAAATAAAAAACAGTACAAATTCAAATATAGAAAGTGACCATGATATATATAGAATTTAAATATAGCATTACAAAATGACTTTTTCACGTAGATAAGCAAACTATAACTAAGTGATAAAATGCATGCATAAGAGCTATATTAGCTTGCCATCACTATATTTGGCATGTTCATAAAAATCATTGATGCGCTTCAAATTCCCACGTCGCTCCTTCTCCCATTGTGTTGTAAGCCTCACCATCTCAAATTGCTCTTTTGACGTAGCCTTAAGATCATTGATTCACTTTTTTCATTTGTTTATGTCCCAAAAGTTTAGTACCAACATCGATATCGGTGAAGGCAAACAAGTAGATAGTATAATGATCGTAGCTCAAATTTAAGGTATTTCGTAGTGATTGTGATGACCAAGGAGAATAAAACAAGTTCGATCAGTCAAGATTATGATAAAAACGTATCTTCTTTTGATACCTTACAAGCTATTGATCAAACAAAATTCCTTGATGCACATGTTTAACAAGTTCGCAAGCAACACAAAGGGGTATTATTTGGATTTTTTTTTTCGAGAAGTTGGACACAAGTGGAAACAGTTATGATCGTAGCATGGTTCATGCGGTGGAATGGCATAAGTAGTAGTCTAGAGATCACCAGCCCACTGGTCCACAATTTTATTTTAGAATGCTTACGTCAATGAATGTTGATGTGATGATGGGGCCGACCAACTAATCACCATGTTCGCTTGAGTTACTTTTCAGCTATGGAACAGTGTTTTCGTCTTATAACATTTTAGCATAAGCATCAGTATAAGCCAAATTTCAACATAAGCGAACATGGTGAATGTTCGAGGCAATATATTGCCTCTAGCAGACATGAATAGCATTGTGGTGAATTCGGTAATGGTTTATGGTAAAAAAAAAAGGTAAACGTGGATTTGTAAGTAGGAATAAGGCATTAGATTATTAGGATCTTATAAATTTGCAAGAGGGACAGAGAATAAGAATTAAGAAATGTTGTGATAGTGATTCTGTTAAGCTCAACAAAGAATTGAAAGTCACCTAGATTTGCATCAGTAAAAATTACAGTCATGGGATATGATTGTAGAAAGTAAGCCAAAGAATTGGTGACAACAGTATAAATTTTATGCAAGTGGACGTAGTTACTATATGAAGCATCAAAAGAAAAAAGACTTCTTCTGAAAAGTTACTTCAAAACTTAATAATTAATAATAGATATACAACGAGGAAAAAAGCTACCCGTCATCTTAATCGTCACGCTGAAGAATCTCTCCTATTGCTGCTCCCAAACCTTCACACTGGCAGTGACTGGCAGAGCCAGGCGGCAGCTGGGGACTCTTGCCTTGCCTTGCCTGCCCTGTGCCCTCTGGACATGGTCCCGGTCCACGAGGCATCCACCCATATAAACCCACGCGCCACCAGTCCACGCTCTCTCTCACAGTTGCCTCCCCTGCACAGCCCCCCCTCCTGTCCCTGCTTCCTCCCCGCTCCCGGCTCCCGCAGCGGGTGGCCTCCGTTCGCCCCGCCCGACCCTTCCCATCGCCTCCCTCACCTCTCCGCCCCGCGCCTCCCGCTCCTCCTGCAGTCCCATCGCATCCTTCGCCGCCTTCTCATCGCTTCCAAAATCGCAAAGCCGGATTGGTACTCGCGATCGCTGCTGGGGACATGGACCCGGACGACGAGCCGTCGGCGCAGCGGAAAGCCGCCGACTTGCACCGGTCGCGCGACACGGAGCTCCTCCTCGCGCCCGCGTGCACCGTCGCGCCGCACACGCGTGCTCTCAGCTACGGTGACGATCTCTGTCGCCTCCGCCTCGGCGCGCGGCTGCTGCTTGTCGTTCCCCCCACGGCCACGGCCACGGCCGCGGGCGGCGCTTCCGCCACATGGCCTCCTTTCGCCGCTGGGTCGACGGCGGCTCGGCGTCGGCGTCGGCGGTGGCGGCGGCATCGAGCGGGCCATGTCCCAAGACGGCAGCGTGGGCGGCGCGCCCGAGTTCGCCGGCGCCGGCGGGGCGAGGGCATCTTCCGCGTGCGCTCCGCGCGGCGATGCACCCAGCCCGCCGCACCACCTGCGGAGACGCAGGGGCGCCTTCCGGCGGACACTAGCGTGCGACCAGCGGCAGCGTAGTAAGCGGGCGGCGCCGAGTCCGGTCCGGTGTGGGGCCTCCACGAGGCGTTCCAGGTGGTGGCGGTCGGCGCCGGCACGCGCCGCCCGCGCGACGAGGAGGACGCGCTGTTCGTGGAGTATGTGCCGGTCCCGCCAAGCGCTCTGCGCGCCATGGTTGACGACGCCAACGGGATGGTGTGGGCGGGCATAGGGACGGCAGATCGTGGCATGGCGCATGGACCACGTCGCGCCCTTGCCCACCAGAGACCCCGCCGCATCGCGCCCATGTTCAAGGAGGCCCTCTCATGGCGAGCGTCAGCCCACACGCCGGTGCTCGTCATCGTCGCTCAAGTCGTATGGTAACAAGCTTTGCTTGCTCGATCATCTCGTTGTTTTTGTGCTCGTTGATCAGATAGACGGCCAATGGGCGAGCGGACGCACGACGCCGGGCCTCCCGGCCGCGTGCCTCTTAGGGCCACGGGCCTAGCCTTCGGCCCAGGCACGACACTATGGGTCGTTTTTCGTGCCGTGCCGACCCGCTATGCACGACCAGAATTACGGGTCGTGCCAGCCCACAACCCATTACCCTTGCATTCACAGAATCAAAGTCCAATATATTCATAGTTTCATATTTTCATTTCATTCACAGAATCATACAGATACAGAATCAAAGTCCAATACATTCACAGTCCAACAGATATATCAAACTCCAAAGCCAACAGATAACAGAAATAACCAAAACGAGCTGTTTAGTGTAATGCTGCCTCATTAAAAATCTTTCTAGGTAAAACTCACCCTTGTGAGAAACCCTAGAAAGAAAAAAATGATTGCAACCAGCTCTTAATTAAGTCTTACAAATCATTTTTCAAATGATAGACAAGTCTCAGAGACACTCTCTCCCACACTCACATACACTCACTCTTTCACAGTCACAGATCAGACTCACACTCTCAAGAGTCAAGTCTCAACCTCACTAAGTACCAAGAGAACCACCAGCAGCTTCATCTTCATCAAGGTACAAGTTCTTGAATGAGTCTTCCAGCTCTTGGTTGTCAACACATGTTGCATTTTTCTCCTAACTCCCAGTCCTTTATGCACGTCAGCATCTCCATAGTCTCTGGTGACAAGCGCCGCTGCCATTCCTCAATTATCCTGCCTGTCAAACTGAAATAAGACTCTGAAGAGACAGTAGATATAGGAACTGATATGATATCTCTAGCCATTATAGACAGGATTGAAAAGGTTAGCTTGTGGTCACGCCACCACAGAAGTAGGTCAAAATCATCATCGTAAGAAGTAACATTGTCACTGTCTAAGTAATCTGAGAGCTCACAAACAGCAGAAGTAGATGAAGATGAAGTGGCAGGGAGAGGGGAAGGACCAACAACACCTGATCCACGGCCAAAGATTCTTCTCCATGCCTGCTTTTTCTTAATTGTATGATTTGATGGTTGTGCAACCCTTTAAGACCTAGTTGCACTAAACTTGCTCTCATATTTGTTAAACGGTTTATACAATTCAGTTTTGACATCAGCATAGTAACTGTACTCAGAACCAGTGTATTCACCAAGTAATTACAGCACATTAAAGAAACCTCTCATCTTAGCTCTAGGATCAAGAATGAATGCATATGAATATAACAGAGGTATGTCCTACCAATATTTAAGAAAATTAAGCTTCATAGGATATACAATAGCTCTCAGATTTTGATCTTTTTCACATGCATACAAATGAGAAGCAATCTCTAGGATATGGTGCAGAACAAGTGGACTTGTAGGATAATAAATACCAGACAGAACAACAGTGGAGTCATAGAAGAGTTCTAGGAACTCCAATAACTTCTCAGCAAAATACTAATGATTTGTAGTCAACAATTATGAATCATAATGGGAATTAATGAACACAGAAAAGACATTCTTGTATGGAAGCAAGTGTTTAAGCATCAGATAAGTAGAAATCCATCTAACATCCATATCCAAGCCAAACTTTCTAGGTCTAACACCCTTAGTATTACAATATTTCTTAAATAATGCAATTATTTGATTAGAGGAATTTAAGAAGTTAATTGCAGTTCTAAAATCTTCTGTGTAAGGTTTCAACCTCTTTAATCCAGATTTTATAGTGAGATTAATGAAATGACAAGGACAACATTGATGTATAAAATTGTACTTATGGTTACTAGGATCCAAAGGATCAAGACCCAAGTAACCAGCAAACAGAGGTGTCAAAGTGTTCATAGCCTTAGCATTAGAAAAAACATTGTCTAACAGAGAAAATCTTGTCAATCAAACAATACTCCTCAACCACAGTAGCAATTCTTTCAGCAATGTTTTCACCAGAATGTTTAACCTCAATCAGCCTAAGACCAATAATCCTTTTCTGTAACTCCTAATCAACATTCACATAGTGAGCAACAACATTAATATAGTCCTCCTTAACATTACCAGACCAAATGTCTGACGTCAAAGCAACAGAAGAAGCATCAGGCAACACAAAATTCTTAAGCATCTCACGGCGTTCAGTAAACAGCTTACCAAGATCTCTAGTGGTGGTCTGTCTAGAAACTTTGGCAAACCTAGAGTTATGAGCAAGAACAATGTAATCCTCCCAGGCCTGTGTCTCACCTATACCTAATGGAAGGTCAAGCCTAGCAATCAACCGACACAACTCAGATCGAGCAACAGCAGGATTGTAGTCCCAGTTATGCACAGATCCATCATGATTAAAAAAAAGCCTAGACTGAACCCTAGCAGCGTGATCAGCCTTTTTCCTACAAGATTTCTGGTGCCTAATCCAAATGGCTAGTGCCAGCAGAAGATCTAGTAGACAATTTACTCTTACATATTTTATAGATAGCAGCAGTTTGAATCTTTGAACCATTCACAGTCTCATAGATCTCATCAAAATCAACCTAGACACCAGATTTATGCTTACCAAGAGATGAGATACCATCTGTGCTGTTGGAGCCGACCGGTGTCCCTGTCGCCGCCACCGACGGCGCTGGCGCCGCCCCTCCACCAACGCAACGCCGCCGTCCCGGATCGATCGGAGTAGAGCCGCTACCGACATCGATACCCAACAACGCAGCAGCGGCGTCATCACGGATGTCGTCGTCGTCCTTGGGGACCAGCCCTGCCGCGATTAGGTCATCGTTGTTTGGTGAGTGGATAGACGACATCGTCGTATTCGCCATGGCGACCTTGACCATGGACGGCTGATCTCCAGCGCCGTTTCTCAACGGTGCGTGCGGCCGTCGTGCCCGGTCTATGCCACAGGAAGAGGACGAGGCATCGGCAACCGACTTTGTCTTGAAGGAGAAAAACAGAGAGATAGAGATCTAGATCCAGGGTCAATCACTCAGTCTCAAAGACACAAGAAGACAGATCTAGGGTTAGGGTTAGGGTTAGGGTTAGGGTTCGTGGACTACCTGCGCAACCGAAGCCTGGTGCCGGAGATGACGAGGGCCACCCAGAGGAGAGACACCGATTAGAAACAACGATGAACGGCGGAGGAGGGACGGACGGGAACACGGTCACGAACTCACATAGTTCACCAAGAGCGAGAGGTCGAGAGGAGAGAGGGAGAAGGAGGAGAGTGGAGACAGGGTCAGACAGTGGATCGAGGTCACCGGAGTCGGGAACGATTTAACGAGAGAGAGCTCTCAGATTCGCCAGATCGTGGATGCGGCCGATCGCGGTGAGAGAGAGAGCGCAGAGATTGCGCCATGGCAAGCGAGACTCGAGAGACCGAGTGGGGATTAGGGTTAGGGTTGGGAGCGGATCATGGAGCGGCGAAGCGGGAGTGTGCTTCACCCGACGCCCCGCTTATATACTCGAAGCGGGCTGCGGTGCGGGGGGCCGACCGGTGGCAAGCCGGCCGCCAGCCGGCTGATGGTTGAGGAGAGCGGGCTGCCGCCGTACCAACCACGCGCTCGGGTAAGGCCCAGCATGGCCTGCTCCTCTCGGGCGTGCAGCCCGGGCCCGCCATCGCCGGGCTGGGAAAAAACGGGCCTTGGGCCGGGCCGACGGGCCTCGGGCTGCATGGCCATATATAGTTGACTGTTTCTAGCAATTAGACAATGCCACTTTTTTTGTGCCAGAAGGTGTGCTGGGAATCCGGAATGTTTGGTTTTTTTATTACTGGCTGATTTCACGTGACTGAATTGTGATAGCTTAGCAATAAACCCTTGTTCGCACGAGCTTATTCAGAACTATTTTTCAGCCATGGAACAGTATTTTCCTCTCACAGCATTTCAGCATATGCATCAACATAAGCCAAATTTCAGCATCAATTAAACAGGGTTCTGGGTCTCTAGTAGTCAGTATAGTTACTGACTTTGTTGATGACGAGAATTTTGAATCCCAAATTAGAATATTATCATGCCACCGTTAAATCTTAGCTATATATGTTAAGTACTTTATGTCCAAGTTTTGTTGTTTTGTATGAGGTGGGGACAGCTACAAATAGAGTAGGGACTAGCTACAAGTTATTCTGGAATGGCGCCATTCCCTTGTCTTCCTTAGGTGAATACGCATGGATTTAGCGCATTTGGTGTGTCTTTCTAGCTGGAGAAGTTTTGTTGGGTAGAGTTAGCCTTTGTGGTGTCTTTTCATACAGAAATGGAATTAGCCTGTGGAACCTTTATAACTACCATAATCCTTGAGTACTAATTTGCAAAATTCAAATCATTCCTTGTTGTTGTTGAGATGCTCAGTGATGTTATCCTTATCCATAATCTATATGATTCTTGAGATCAACAACTCTGTACTCTCGATCGAAAGTTCAAAACCTATTCTCCCAGCTTCATTGGGATACTTTCATTTTGCCTTCTGTCAATGTCTGAATCACTAGATCTTTATTGTTTGAGTCTATTCATCTCTGATGTTTTATAGTTCATGTGTTAACATAGATTCTGATTTAGAAGGGCTAAAAGGTATCCAAATTTATTGTTTCATTTAATCTCTTGGAAACAGGTGAAATTTGGTCAGGATCGGAAGGGGGTGTCATAAAGGCATGGCCTTGGGACGCCATTGCTAAGTCCCTCTCATTTACATCAGGAGAAAATCATATGGCTGCCTCGCTGGTTGAAAAATCCTATATTGACCTTAGGAACAATGCTACAGTTGGTAACATGTGCTCTTTGCCTGCTGCTGATGTGAAACACATGCTTGCAGATCGCTGCAGAGCAAAAGTTTGGAGTCTAACTAGCATGACATTTGCTCTTTGGTATGCTTTGATAAATATAGATATATTTAACAGTCTCAAGTTCACCGGCACTTATTTATATATATATTTTATACAGGGATGCTAAGACTAGGGAGCTTTTAAAAGTATTTGGCATCGATGGCCAAGTCGACTTAGCTCGGCCAGAGGCCCCAGTAATGCCAGAACAGTTCATAGAGGAAGAGATTAAAGTAAAACCCACAAAAAAGGAGAAACCGCAAGGTTCTTTCAGTTTTTTTCAGAAATCTAGGAATGCCTTGATGGGCGCAGCTGATGCTGTACGCAGAGTTGCAACAAAAGGGACATTGGTGGAAGACAATCGGCGAACCGAAGCAGTTGCTCAAGCAATGAATGGGACAATTTGGTCTGGTTGCACAGATGGTTCAATTATTGTGTGGGATGGAAATGGGAATAGATTGCAAGAATTTCATTATCATAGTTCTTCTGTTCAATGCATAAAGACACTTCTGAGATGGGTGCTGGAGTTCTTGCCATGGCAGCAGCCAAAGAAAGTGTAAGATACTTTGCCTCACCTTAATATTATTTCTTTCTTGTCAAGAGGTTTGCAAGATGTCAAGTGGGAAGGTAGCATTCAATTTGGCTAATAGTGTCAGAACAGGGAGAAAAAAAATCTGGTTAAGAATTTTGAATTGGAGATATTTAAAGAATAAGTTTACATAGTTTCTGACAATCTTCCTATTGTCTCTACTCCACCCGTTTCATGATTTAAGGAAGATTTTCCCATAGGCTTGTTCAAAATATGTGACCTCTTGAAAAATCGAGGGAGTATTCGATGAATTATCCACCTACTACCACTAATTGACAACATTGTTTATTTTTCTTGAACAATATTATGAAATTGAGGGAATATTTGTAAATCTTCGTGTTTGTTTTTTTCCTTCCCTAGACCCCACTCATGTGGGAGCCTCCGGCACTGGGTTTGCCCTTTTTTTTTTAATGTTTGTGGTCCTGAAGCACCCAATCATTTAGGTTTTATTGTGCCAAAATGCAATGTAAATACACCCTAATTCTTGTACTGTGTCTCCACCTTGTTACCATTTGCTCTCCATCCCGGGTTAAAGTTTTCAATGTTGTAGCTTATAGGAAGGGATATCCTCTGACTCCTGTTCACAATTAACAGATTCTTCTATTACTTAAAACTTGGGAAGTTAATGTATTTTGTTCTTGTATTAATTATAGATCCATTTTTAGAAAGTATCCATTTTACCCCTGATAACTGAAAGGGAGGGAACACTAATAAGTTTATATTTTCCCTACTCATTACTGTATTCTGATCTTTCTCCTGCTGCTTTCAGTTTAATCCAGAAATGTCAACATCACCAGCTATCGTCATCTACTATTTTGTGCTCTTTTGATTATTGTTCTATAAGGTGATTATTTGATTCAATATATCTGTCTTATGGCCTTAGGTAGGGCTTGAGGGCAGTGCCAATGGGCAGTGGTGGATAGACAGTATTGGCAAAACACTAGATGAGGGGATATCCTTCCACAGAGTTGGTTCAAGGCAGTTGGCAGGATTACTTATTGCCGCATGGTACTGACTAATCATGAATCATTCTTAATAACACATTATAAATTTCTGTTCACATGATTATTACAGTTTGCGCTTAGATACTTTTCTCATCTCATATTTCCACATTCTACGTCATGATTATCTGAAGGGCAAGTAATGACCTTAAGCCACATGTTGGTGATGTTGATGCTGCTGCAGTACCATGTGGCTTTGGGCGTGCTATTGGCAACAAGGTAAGCGATTGTCAAGGCAACTTCACTTTCTTGTTTCTGATGAAGGTACCAGGTACCATGTGTCTGATCTGTGTCTTACCACTAGGCATCCCCTAGCTCTCTTCTGCACAATATAAAATAAAAGAAAATGTTTGCAGAAAAAGGAAAAGAGAAACTGGCAATCTGCATGGTATTTATTAGAGTTAATGCATAAATGCAAATATAGAATCTGTAAACTTATTAAAATGTGCTGTTCTTTTTGTGGCTGTACCATGAAGAAGCAATGTGTCCGCCTGTGTTAGAACAAAAGAATTCAACTGACGGCTAAGTTTGAAAGGTTCTAACTTCAGTAATCCGCAGATAAACTCTTGAAACTATATATTTGAATTCAATAGTTGATAATTAGCTTTTCATGCCTGTCAAAGTTGTGCTCCAAATTTCCTTTGCCATTCCACACTGTAACTATAAATGACAGCTGATGCTTCTTTCAGGGTGGTGTCGGATTAAGAATAAGAGTCTTTGATCGCAGGATATGTTTTATAAACAATCATTTTGCTGCACATCAAGAAAATGTTAGCCGTCGTAATGCTGATTTCGACCACATTTATCGGACAATGACTTTCAACAAACCTCATGGATCTACAGGTATGTTGTTGTCAAATGCCTCTTGGAAGTACTATTGTTTACTAACATTGCTGTACATGACACCCATAACACATTTTCTTTGTTGTTGTACTACAGCTTCTGCTACATCTGTCCAATTGCATAAAGCAGTGAGTGTATGTGATCATCAAACTGTGTTCACAACAATAATTGGCTAGTTTTCCTCCTGGGAATGATATTGTTTATGTGTGCATACTGTAATAATGGCAGGCTAATGAAAATCAAGCCGATGAAGATAGGCCTGAGCTGGCAGAAGCTGATATGGTTGTCTTTCTTGGTGATTTCAACTACCGACTTAATGGCATCACCTATGATGAAGCAAGGGATATGGTCTCTCAGAGGAGCTTTGACTGGCTTAGGGAAAGGGATCAACTTCGAGCGGAAATGAAGGCAGGAAATGTGTTTCAAGGAATGCGTGAAGGTCCAATCAAATTTCCTCCGACCTACAAATTCCAAAGACACCAGTTGGGTCTCTCAGGTACTGTATTTGATGCTTATAGTACTTGCCTGTTATATATGTCCATCTTTTGTTACATGGACAGTTCCAATTCATTTTTTCATGGTTTATTCGTACCACCTGCTTTAGATATGAGTTTGTTCCATCATCTCCATGCAGGGTATGATTTAGGCGAGAAGAAGAGAATACATGCTTGGTGCGATAGAATACTATATCGAGATAGCCGTTCTGTATCAATAGCTGAATGCTCATTAGAGTGTCCTGTTGTTGCTGCAATTACAGCGTAAGATTTCACAGAGCCAAGCGTTTTTGTATTTTGACCATTTTTTTGTGTGTTGAGGAAGAGAACTACTGGAGTTATGTGATCCTTCTTTTGTATAACTATTCCTTGCAGAATTAATTTGTTGTTTTTTGCTCTTTGATAGGTACGAAGCTTGCATGGATGTCACAGATAGTGATCATAAACCTGTGAGATGTACATTTAGCGTTGATATTGAAAGAGTAGATGAGCTGATAAGAAGGCAAGAGTTTGGAAAAATAATCGAATCTAACAAAAAAGTATGCTCTTTGCTTCGAGAGTTGCATTTTGTTCCAGACACTATCGTAAGCACAAACAACATTATATTGGAAAATCAAGGAGATGTTATCCTTCGAATAACTAATAATAGTGAAACTAGTAAGGCTGCTTTTGAAATCCTGTGTGAAGGCCAATCAATCAGAAAGCAAGATGGAACTAAATCTGAGCTGCTCCTAAGGGCATCCTTTGGCTTTCCACTTTGGCTTGAGGTAGAGTTACTCTTTTTTTAATCTATATGTACACTGCTGTTGTTCTTTTTTGTATACTTTGTCGCCCTATTAGATCTCATTTGCTATATCATACTTACTACTTAGATATAGTATGCCATAGCTTCAGCTGAATGGCATTTTGGCAGGAACCCCTATAGTTGGAGCCTATATTAGGTTCCCACAACATTTTGCTTGCAGGGTGCTTGTCCTGCTTTCATGAGAAAGTAAAACATAGTTCATAGCTCTTCCAGATGGATAATGTGACCCCCTTATTCGTTGGGTGTGTTCTGATCATAATTTTGCTTGTAGGAAATTATCGTGTTCATTTGTCATTTAGTTCCAAATGCCGAGCATAGTTTTTTCAAACAAAAATGCCGAGCATAGTTAATGTAGCTGTTCTGTATGCTAGAAACATAAAACTTGGAGAACCGTGGAACTTGTTTTCCACTTGTGTGACATATTTTTCTAGCAGATACTCTCTTTGGGAACTATTTCTTTCTGGTTTCCTAATTGTGAGAAGCAAAATCTGATCAATCGCAAATTATAATGACTTGTACCAAAACTGTTAATCAATTATCAAGATGCTGAATTTGATTCTATCGGTAGCTTTTTATATAGCCGTTTTGCAGAGATATATTATTGGGCAAAGACATACGAACTTATGCAAGTCGCTTGACAAGTCTTTTTTTTTTAACGCAATGACAGGAGCTCTACCTTTCAATTAAGATGGGGAAAAGAAAGTTTATGTACAAACAAAGGCAGCTTGACAAGTCTGTAATCAGTCATTCCATATTCTTTGTATTGCATACTTCAAGCAGTGGCGAATCTAGAAAAAACTGTGATCGGGGTCGGCACAAACTCATGATAGAAATTTATAGTAATCTAACAACATGATACATGCAAAATATAGGCATAATTGTGAAGCCAGACTACAAAAATCAAGGATTCATATATAGGAGCGAAATTAATAATATTATAATAAGATAAGAATAAACTTTTTATAATAGTGGTTACCTCTTATAATTTCACTCTACGGGTACGATCATCCAATTCTAGAAACGAACTATGACATCGTCATTTGGGATTGCACCGAGAAATTCTTGTTCCACAAAGCAAACGGCACAATCATTCATAAATTCATCCCCAACACGGTTCCGTAGATCTGTCTTCACAATTTTCACTACTGAAAAATATCTTTCCACTGATGCTATGGCAATAGGAAGAACTAGCACAAGTTTGAGGAGTCGATATACCAAAGGAAAAGCAATATGTTTTTATGTATCCACCATGAATCTACCAAGTTCAGAAATAGAATTCAATTGGACAAATCTTGCATCGGCTCGCACATTATCAATGTAAATATGAAGCTCAAGACTAAGATCGTCTGGCTCATTTGAATCAATTCACTAGGATATGCATTTGCCAAGTCCATCGAACTCTCAAATTTGAAAGCATCAAAAGAATTCTTGGGATTGAAAGCAGCAACATAGGTAAGCAGCTCAGAATTTACCTCATTAAAACGATCATTAAATTTTGTAAACTACAAATCAATAATTGGGTTCAAGCAATCATATTTGTAGTGATCATCACAGGGGGATTTTTTCCTTTCAAGAATCCTTCCATTGTGCTTTGATTGGCTATCAAATTAGTGAACACAATTAAACACTAAAGTAGATATTGAATAACAGCAAGCAGCCTGCAGCCATGCGTATATTTCCTTACCTGACATGTTGATATTGCTCCAATCAGCCAACGTCACGCCGGTGCCGGCCACGACAAGATACGGCGATATCTGCAGGCTGGAGCGTCAGGTTGTATTGCTGATTGCAGTGAGGGGGGCGATCGCAAAGGAAGAAACCTAGAAGTTGAATCAGAAAGACGAAGCATTAGGCGGCGGCCGGTCTAGGCAGAGTAATCGACGGCATGATTTTTGGGCTTGTTAGCTTCTTCGCTTCTGTTGTTTATTGGCTACACGATGTCCATCCATGTATTCATATTGGACTTTTGCGTTTGTGGCCCGCTGGCTTTTGCACTGGGCTGCATAGTTGTTGGGGTCAATATTTAATTTCACTGGGGTGGTGAGAATACAGGGGTATCGCTGGTTCTACGGAAGTCATCGGGGTCGGTGGACCCCGACGCTTTACTGTAGATCCACCCGGATTCCCCCCTTTTCTGTATTTATACTCTGCAATGTTAAATAGGTCCAACCATCAATCGGTCTCATCGAACCAGGAGAAACAATGGAAGTTGCTGTGCATCATGAAGACTTCTTCACACAAGAAGAATTTGTCGACGGAGTACAGCAAAACTGGTGGTGTGAAGCCACCAGAGATCTGGAGGTTGTTCTTTCGGTGAATGTCACAGGCAGCTCCTCGACTGAGGCCGTCACACACAGGATCACTGCCCGGCATTGATGCCCGGTGCCTTCAGCTCCCCCGCCCGTTAACCCACGCTCTATTACTGAATCACCAAGTGATGCTAAGTCAGGTTCCAAGAATAACCAGTTGAATCACTTACTACGTTCTGATTTTGCAAAATTAGGCAGCTCAGAGGTGCATGACTTGTGCGGTGTGCGAAAGCGAAGCTTGTAAAAGCTAGTTTAGTTTCTTTTTGCTTGGTGTTGTAGTTCTCCTGTCCGAGTGTTTAGCCGGTGGAGTCTTAGATTTCTTGCCTAAGTTGGGGGAAAAGTGGCTCTGCTCTTCATCCTGTTCTGTACATATGCGTCCCTGATCTCTCACGTCTCACCGTTCTTTGCATATCAAATAAAAAAGGGAAAAAAAAGGAGAAAAGAAGAGGGTGTGCAGTTGTTGCAATTACCTGTAGTTAAAATTTTAAGATAACCTCTTTTACCTTCTTAAGTAGTAGATGTGGCATTGAAATCATGTTGTTAGAGGGTGGATTATATAATTGTACAAAGGAGGTTGTGAGTTTGAAGTACTGACTGATCAATAGTCTGTATAGTTTACTTCATTGATTGAATCACGGTAGAGTGGTTTGTACACAAAGGCAATACATGTGACTTACAGGACATTCTCTTTGATTAATGAGACTGTAATCTTTTGTACAGAACCTATACCAACAATGTTCTATTTTCTTCTTTTCCCCATCCCACAATGCCCAATTGCAGCTCAAGCTCACCAAATACTACTGGCTTTCGGTTCAGAATGTTGGGAACCTGAAAGCACCATCTATGATGTCTGCTATACCTGTCAAGTTGCATCGAGTTGGATGATGCTTTGCTCCTACTGCACACACCTCAGTTGAGATACAGCTCAACGAGAACTGAAGCTGCTCCTATAACAACGCCAGACTGAGACTGTTTTTTTTATTTATTTATTTATTTTTCAGCGATAGCGTTCAATCCTTCATCATGAGTTTGTCGATGCTTGGTAGTCACTTCAACTGAACTTTGTCAGGCACTACACTTCAGCTCCCCCCTTTGACCTGTAAATTGCTTCAGAGTTGGTCTGCAAACTGGATTTACAAATCCTTCCACCCACCAACGCACCAACTGAAGATGACCGACCACACGAATGCTAGTGCGTTTGAGGTGGATAGAAGTTGAGCCAAGTGCAAGCGAAACAAACTTTTCTACTCCCCATTGAATGATGATGGCCTGGTGGGTCATGCTCACACACCCAAAATATTCAGCAGTTTTGACAACCAAACAGCTTAGGTTTGAAGTTTGAACCTGACAAGTTGACAGGTGATGGAGGCTAACATAGAATAGGAGAGGAGTAGGAGAGGTCCTGGTGTGCACTGTGCAGTGCAGTTAGGTTGGGTCAAAACTGGTACACTGAACAGTCCAAGCCCAGTGATGATTTGGTCATGATTTGGTGTGAGCCGGTCGGTACAGCTGCATCTCGTTTAGAGTACTGATGATGATAGTTGGGTTTGGCCAAGCTCACTGACCTCGCCTCCAATGATCAGGCATTTAGGTTGTGGATCCACTGCTGGTGAAAAGTTTTGGAATTTGGAAAAGGTTTGAGTTGGCAGGAGATTACAAGGGTCCAGGGAGGTTCCTACCATCTGGAAAGCGAGACTTGTGGAACTACTTGTTTGCACGTCATGATAAATGTACAGGTTTATCATCTTGTTTAGTTTAACTATCTCCCCTAAACGTAAAGTTAAGTTTATACATGTAACAAAGTACTGTTTGAACTACCGGTCTACATTAGCATGTGCAATGAAAAGGTGATCATTCATTAAAAAAGAGCAATGATGCGAACAGAACGACCCTGATAAGCCATTATGGATTGATTTATTGTGAGATAAAAAATATTATTTATTGGTTGAAAAAGCGCTTATAAGCACCAAGTTTCAGCCGCTGAGCTGCTCGCAATCTTTAGGAGAGAGTCGCATGTCGGCAGGACTGTGTTTCTTTTCTCACTCTAGCTCCGGCATTGGACGGCTTAAGTGTTGCCTCCGTGCATGCATGATCTACCGACCTAATCCTAGCATCACGCTATCGGCATGAAAAAGGCTTCCAATCATTGCATCAGTTGGTCGGTGAGATATACAGTAGCCTAGCCTGTACGGCCAACAAAAGCCCAACCCGGCCGGCCGGCCCGCCGCCGCCGAGGCCGAAGAGGAAGAAGACGGCGATGGATCGCGTCGTCGTGGCATGGCGTGGTCCTCCATGCACGCTTCCCCGTTCCAGCAGCAAGGTCAAGGACAGGAGCCCCCTTTTTTTCTGGTGCCGGACGGTGCGCGCGGCGACGCGGCGCGCATGAGCCGAGCCAACAAACGGGTGAGCGCCAGCCGCGGCGCCCGGCTGCTCGCCGTGTGTGGCCGTGGCCGTGCGGTGCCAGCTCCCGCGCCACCGCTACGGGGACGGGGCCAAGCGCGACGCCGGCTGGTGCGAGCGAATCCGCACCAGGCGTGTCCGCGTGGGGCTGCTGCTGCTCACGCGCCTTTCGCCTTTGCGCTAGTCACACGCGTCTCGTGGATTTTTTGGTCGGGGGCGTTTTTCCTGTGCGCGCATCCGCCTCGCCACGCCTTTTTCCACCACCAAGGAAAAAGTTGCAGACGGACTCGCACTAGATCGCCGAGCGCCACAAACTTTTGCTCCAGTTCTTACTGCTGAGGTGAAGTGGTGAACCCAGTGAGCCACACACTACTACTCTTCTTCTTGGAGAGTCACTCTCGTGCATGTGTATGCACCGATGGATTCGCGTAAACGCATAACCTGATAGCGAAAACTGGGACAGCTGAGCATATCGCGCATTTGCAGCAAGGGAAGAGCAGCGGATCGCACGGGGACGTGTTGACACTTTGCATTATGTTTTGTTTGGCATTCTAGAAGAAGTACGACGATGCTGTTTCTTGTCCTAAACAACCAACCATCGCCAGTCGCCACGCTGAACCAAAGTGAGATCTCCCTGGGGCCTGGCCTCACTTTTTTACCTCCACTGGATTGGATAGCAGAAAATGCACAAAATTTATTAGCAAGCAAGCAGTACACTAGTAGACGTTTTCTAGCTGTCTCACTTTCTAGAAGAGTCATGCTTCCACTAGTGGTGCTTGTTTATCCTCTTCTCATCCCAGCTTCCGAATTTTTTATTTTTCAGCATTTTTTTAAAAAATATTCACAAATAGATATACGGTGGTTTGATTTTCGTTTATAGACCCTTACCTTGGCGCCATGGCTTTTGGCGCCGAGGAAATACGTCTCGACACCATGAGGTCTTGGCGAGGCGTCGGACGTGGCGCGGTGACTGCATGCAGCGCGTGGACAAGGTCTCGACTTCATAGATCTTGGCGTTTGAAATGAAACAAGTATAATTGTTTCGAGAAACATGCAACAACACCATTGCGGTTCAGTCGCTTAGGAAGCGCGTGACTTAGCTTAAAGACCTAGGTTCAAACCCCAACGCTGAATCTTTTTTTGCTATATTTTTATAAGCAATAGAACAAGAAAAATTATTTCGAGAAAAAAAATTCTTTCAGAGGAACACGGAAGCATCTGGATTCAGTAACAGACTGTCTAATCTGTAAGTTGGATAAAGGCCACAAAATAAAACAGATTTTGGAAGAAAGACTTGAGGTTGAAAGGGTAAAGTTTGGTTGAAAGAAAATACAGTAAGCTAAACAATGAACTCACCAAGAACACCCGTGTAGTACGACAGAGGCAATTCAGGATGATTGACCTTGAAAAATGACTCTGGCTTAGGGACGAAAGTGTACTCCTCCCATCCGGTCATCCCCCACACAAGATCGCCGAGCTTGAAATCCGGGTGCCCAGATGCTATCACCGTGTATACACCAAAGTTTACCAAAGCCTGCAGGATTTGCACCAGGGTAGGGGAGCATAGAACTGTAAGTGTAAGGTCCCTAGTTGAAAAAGAAGAACCAAATGGAAGAGAAGTGGACCTATCACCAGTCCACAGGCTGAACAGAGTACAGAGAACTCCCCGATGTTCTTTAGAATAAAACTACACAATCAATCTTGTGTTTCGTTTTTTGGTAAACATGTGCTGTTCAAACATCAGAGGACAGTTAATTCACTTTTAACCCATAAATGAAGGCATAGATTCACAATCTAAATTTAAGTTTTTTTTCCGAATAGTCCAAGTTGAACCGAGTCATAAATATCTTGACACCTGAGCACGGGATTCCAAATTTTCTAGTAATTTGCACAAGTTCCACGGCGCACAAAGGTAATGATATATTATTGTCGATTAAATTGAATACTATTATCAGGTGATTCATTGCCCATTCAAAGTTCGAATCCTCTGAGATTTCTCCAAAAAATCAAAAGAACAGCGAAAAAACCTTATCTTTAACCCTGGCGTCAAATTTTACCCTTAATTCTCGTTGACTACAAGTTTCTATAGATTTCTTTAGTTGCTTCCCCCACGTCGAAAAAACATAAGTTTTACCCGGGACGACCATCCAGAGGAGCAGTACATGTTTATGTCCAACTACTGACGGAAGCAAACAAAATAATCCCCACGTCGATCTGAATTCTGATCTGATGATAAAATAAAATACGACTTGTTCAAAAATATTCCTGGTGGTTTGAACTTCTTGTTCTATTTCCTCGGCGCTGGTGGCTTGAACAACTTGTTCTATTATAAAATATGTAGCAAAATCACGCGCGTCCCTACCAAACCGAACCGCAATGGTGTCGTTGCATGTTCCTCGGAACAATTGTACTTATTTCATTTCAAACACCAAGATCTATAGGTAATAACAATGCTTGCAAGATCTACGGCACTGCTTGACGCCAAGATCTATGACACCGAGTCCTTGTCCACGCCGACGCCAGTCACACCACGTTCACGCTCGACGCCTCGTCAAGACCTCGGCGCTATTGACGTGTTTCCTCGACACCAAAAGCCATGGCGCCGAGGTCGAGTCATATAAACGAAAATCAAACCACCAGGGATCTATTTGTGAATATTTAAAAAAAAAGAGCTAAAAAATAAAAAAATCGGTCCCAGCTTCACCAACCAGCCAGAGTACACCTCATCTCATCAGCCTTCTTTTGCAAGAGATAGAGAAGCAAATAGCATGATCCCAGAACACAAGTGCATGATCAGCTCAGCATTCACGAACAGAACAAAAAGAAGAAAAAAAGCCAAAGACCAATGCCACCAGTATCACTCACTCATCTCCAGTATAATAATCGTGCAGTATACACACATCTATCATACAAAATAAATAAAAAACAGAGAGAGACACTAAAGCATCATAAGGCCTAACCCGCCTACATCTGCACACCAACACAACACTGAAGATTAGATACAGTCAGAGGACCTGACTATGACCGAGTTACAAAGATAGCGGCAAGCGGCCGCCGTTGGAGGTGCCGTTGGAGGTCTTGCTGTCCTCTTTCCTCCGCTTCAAAACAATGCCCCATGTCACGACCTCCAGGATCACGGCGATGGCGCCCAGGATGGCGATAGCGATGATGTAGCCCGTCTTCCACTTCTGCTCCACGTCCAGGATCGACATGCCCTTGAAGATGTTGACGATGCCCAGTATGATGATGGTGTAACCGACCGAGTGGTGGTAGATGTTCCAGTACAGCCGGTACTTGTGGTCCTTCTTCGGCCTCAAGAAAAGCGCAAAGATCTAGTACATTGGGAGGGAAAAAAGATCAGCTGGGGGTTTAGGTTTTTCATTCATCAGCTGGGTAAAAGAGCGTCATGAGAAGGATGGATGTATGCCATTGCTATGTAGTACCTGCAGAGTACCAAGAGCGAATACTGTGATCCCAATGTTCCTGTGAAGCGAATAGGTGATTCCCTTGGACAGGTTTCCAAGATGAATTCCAGTTGCCCAGCCGGAGACTCCGACGCCATACCCGATCAGCTGGCAAGCTACGTGGAGGTAGAACCATGCTGGATCAGCTGATTTGAATGTCTTGAGGTACCTTGCGAAAATGGCTCCCATCGGCAACAGAAGACCCCAGCTCACAGCATTCAGGATTCCATGAGTCTACATAAAGAACAGGACAAATGAGAATGATTTGATGAAATCAGAAAACACTGGACAGTACGCCCAAAGCAAAATCAGAAGTAACAGCTGTTAGGTGCTAAATGACAATACTAGCATTTTTAATGGAAACGGAGACACTATTTTCTTCGAAGACTTCATCAGTTGTAACAACTCACAAAGCAAACTGGAGTAAGATGGTAACAGCTGTTAGGTGGTAAATTAGTCTACTGAAAGAATGGGACAAATGAGAATGACTTGATGAAATCAGAACATACTAGACAGTACACCCAAAGCAAACTGGAGTAAGATGGCAACAGCTGTTAGGTGCTAAATGGCAGTAATAGCATTTTTAATGGAAACGGAGACAATATTTTCTTTGAAGACTTCATCAGTTGTCACAAACTCACAAGGCACCTACCAGGATACCTAGGCACTAGTACACTACTAGTATGACAGCAAGAATTATACTGTGAAATAAAAATATGCCAGCTGATTATCTTGACTGCATCGAATTGCCCTGATGGGTCAGAATAGCATGTTAGCCGCATATGCCTTTGTTCTTCAGAATCCAGAATACATGCAAATGCAAAAAACCGAGGCATTTAGCCACCAAAAATTGGTCAAATCCAAGCTGAACTGCTTATAAGTCCAACAAGGAAGGATGAAAATTGCGCCCCCTATACACCAAAATTCCAAGTGTACGGATAAGGAAGAGGGAAACTGGTATAACTGCCACGCCTAATAAACACAGTCAACAAACGCTGCCTGCCGTACGGACTAATACAGTTGATTAGCAGCTCTGAATCAATTCAACGCACCAGGACAAATTAGTTGAGACTATCGTAGAACACTTCACGAATTTTCTTTTCTCAGCTATACATACATTCGAAGCCTGGAATTTTAAAAGGAGTAGGTTTCCCACGTTCTTACCACTACATCAACATGCTGTTCATCGACGAAGAAAAAAATCAAGCGACAAACTTAATCTGTGTGGCTTGCTTTTTTTCAGAGAGAGGAATTATCTTTTCCGTTGCAGTAACGCTTGATGTAAATACAGTACTAAACTCATTCGCAAAAACAAACGTAAAACAGAATAGCTCTTCTGATAAAAAGGTGATTCTTTTTTTACTGAAAATTGAGTCAGGAATCGAATACTAGCAGAGTTGTGTTGTGAATGGGATCAAATTGACTTTGAAATTTTGCACCAGCGAAGGATAAGAATCGAAGAAACGAACAAATGGCTTATATAACACGAACAGACAAAGGGGGAGGAGCAACTCACATTCTTCTTCCTGAGGATGCTGCCGCCTCCGCTGGCGGCGGTGGTGGCCCCGGTGAGGAGGTTGAGCGTCCCCTTGGCGTTTATGCTGTCGCTGCCGGGCTTGGTGTCGTGCGCCCCGATCCCACCAGAGTAGGGCCCCACCTGCCAGACCTGGTTGACCTCGGCGCCCGTGCCGTTCTGCAGCTTGAGGGTCCCGAACACCTGGACGCGGCCGTCGGCGCCGACCTCGGCGGCGAGGTCGGACGTCTGGTAGTTGGGGAGCGAGCCCGGGGAGTCGAGCTTGTACCCGGAGATGCTGTAGGTCTGCACCTCGTACCCGCCGCCGCCGGCGGACTTGGGGACAGCCACCAGCGCCTGCGTGCCGTCCATGCTCTGCGCCTTGGGGTTGAGCCCCCACGCGACCCACCCGCCGGAGGACGGCGGGGAGGCTACGAACGCCACGGAGAGGGAGGAGGCGGCGGCGTCGTAGGACCAGTGCAGCGACGCGCCCAGGCGGGGCAGGTCCGCGCACGCCGCGAACACGCGGTTGCCCGAGAACTTCTCCGCCGCGCAGGCGGCCGCCGCGTGGGCGGGCGGCCGGCGCGAATGCCGCCGCGGCGAGGAGGGCGAGGAGGAGCCGCGGGAAGGACATGGCCGCGGCCGCGCGGGGTCGGGGTTCTTGCGGGCGGGGCAGCGGCGGCACGGTAGGCAAGGAGGGGGGAAAGGAGAAGCGCAGAAAAGGCTGCGGGTTTTGGGTTCCGGAGTTGGACGGAGCTCGGAATGATGCTGCAGCGAGTGGTGCCGGTCGGGAGGGGGCGCGGTTAATATGGAGGAGGGCACGAGGGCGGAAAGGACGGTGGGCACGTGGGGCCTGTGATTGGGCCCTGATTCACGCGGTCGTGGTCGTAGGGGCCAGAGACTGGCTTTTTGGGAAAGGTTTTACACGTTCCTTATTTTTTACGGCGATTGCATTTGGACATGTCCGATTAGTTGTGCAGTTGTAAGCGCAAGTGTACGCCATTGTCATGCATTGACTGTCTCAAGCTTACCTCTTTCCGTAGTTATTTAGTAGTAGTAACTTACTAAACATAGATCGAATCAATTGGCATCCTAAACTGATGATTCATTCCATTATCGGTGTGTGGTACGAATGTATGAGTACGATTGTTAAGAGGGGATGGCAACTGAGGATGTTTGGATGCTCGACACGCCCAAGATGCGGCAGAGTGTGGCGCGCCACAGGTTCGCCGAACTTTTTCGGCGCCACACTTTGTGTTGAGATTTCACGCCTTTTCTTTGGTAAAAGTTTACGTGGCTGCCTCATCTGCGCAAACAACCAAACGCCTGCTTTGATTTTTGTGGCGTCGCCTTAGGGTGTGGCGTGGCAGAGTATAGCCGTGAGCCCGTGAACCAAACAGCTCCAAAATGCACTATATATGAAACATCTACGGTTGTGGACCGCGCAGGATCATTTCCGCTTTTGGCATCTCGGGGCTAGTAAAACCTAGGACGTGGCTAATGTTAGGCATATGAGGAAGGTTTGGCGAGCTACCAAAGGTACCATAGTGAGTAGCAGCCAGTAGGCCTCTTAATGTCACGGATACGAATACGAGTGCGGCTAATTGGATTGATTCTTGGCGTAGAACTAACAGCCGCTACCATAATTCCATCGCCGGATGCACGAGGCCGCATGTACGAGCAACGTGAACCTGGGCACGCGGTGCGTCCAAAGTTGAAAACCCAGGGCGCGTCACTGTCACCGTCAGCTTTCCGTAATCACCGCCTCCACTCCAATCCACCTTGTTAGTTGTGTTAATGATTAATGATGAAGCTAAGGCTGGCCACATCGTTGTTCGTTTTCATTGATAAGTCTTGACCGAAAGAAAATGAATCTGATTTGTGAGAGAGTGAACAATGTTTTCAAATAAAAAATTCGCCGATAAGAGCGAAAAACATGAGTTTAGAAGTACAAAAACCATCAGTGATCTGTCTCCCACGACGACGGAGCAGTGCCGTGCCCGTCACGCATGGCACGCAGGCATAACATGAGTTTAGGTCAAGGTACAGTAAACCATCAGCTCCCACGACGACGGAGCAGTGCCGTGCCCATGGCATGCGATGGCATGGCACGCAGGCAAGAATAAATTGGTGCCAGAACGCCGCACGTTAGCCAGGTCAATGGTTACGCGTTGCTGCAGGTCTTCGTCATGGGCAGGGCTGCGGTGAATGCAGACGGAGACCAACAGGCCAAGAGCCCAAGACGGCGAGACCTCACAGGTCACGCCAAGCGTTCCCACGCGCTGACTCGGGCCACTGTTGACCGACTTGAGGTGGACTCGACTCGACTCCCGAGTTCACCAGTGGGGACCAGACCAGCGGTTGGTGGCTTGCCTTCCACCGCCCACCGCCACGCCACCGGCGTCCGGCGGGCGGCGGCATCCTCGGCGTGCTAGTCCGTCCCACTCGCTCGGACTTGGCAGCGGGCCGGGCCGGCGGCGACAGCCCATGCAGGTGGTGGGCAGCTGACTTTGGTGCAGGAAAAAAGGTGGTGAGCTGCCGAGCCCCACCCGGAACGAGATCCTCTAACGTACTTTGTTTCTACGTAAGAGGGACGTACAAGCCTCCTGCACCGTTGCTGCACCATCCGACGGCAGCATCCGAAATACGTACATGACTATTCTATCCATCGGCCCACTGTCACGCTGGCCTTGTTCGGCCCATTCACACGCAGCTGCACAGAAAGAGCGCGAAGGTGGACAGAAAATTAGCGGGAGATCGTGGACGCCGCGGGAGAAAAGGTAGTTTCAGCCGGCGAGTTCGTCCGAGGAGGTCGATCCAGCGACGGCGACGGATTTTTGCACTCCCTCTTCACCTGCGTGAACTAGATCTGCTTTGCTGTGTCATAAATGGACATTTGGATTGGATTGATCTGTCTTCATCAGATTGTTCTGAGCTTTGTTGAAGCATCTCCCTTTCTCAAGAAAGATGTAGCTTGTCTGCAATTAAAATAGAATCAAAAGGTCCTGAAGTGGAAGGAAATAGGGGTGTAACTCAATCTCATGGCTTTTCTTTTGTCAAAATGTGCCATAACATGTAACTGATTATTGTGGCATGATTTTTTAACTTTCTGGTCTTTTTTCCCTGAATAAAGAGAGTTGATGATCACTCTTTCATGGATATGCACTAATCTCACAAACTGCTCTTTTATGAATATGCACTGTTCTCATGTTTTTGAATGAATATGAACCAACCTCATACCTTGTGGTCTGCTTTTCTACTCTGTACAGAGAGAGCTTGATGGCTAATTTTGTACCCCATGTTGGCATGGAATTTAGAACTTCAGATGAAGCTTGGGCATTTTGGCTGAGCTATGGTGGACAGAAAGGCTTTGTGGTTAGGAAAAGATATACAAACAAAATACCTTCTGATGCCAAGATTACATCATATAAATTTGTTTATGCAAATGAGGGGTTGCCAGATAAAAGGGATCATTTAACAAAGTGCCCTCGAGCTGAAACTAGAACCGATTGTCAAGTCCACATGAATCTTAAAATTATCTGAAAGAAGGAAACTCTGATAGTGTCTGACTTAGTTTTGGAACACAATCATGCACTGTACCTGCCAGCAACCTTGCACCTAATGGCGTCACAAAGGAAAATTTCAGATTTACAAGCTTTTGAAATTGAAACAGCAGATGATGCGGGAATTGGATCAAAAGCTACACATGAGTTGGCTAGTTGTCAAGTTGGTGGTCCACTCAATCTTAGCTATACCCTTCGTGATCACAAGAATTATTTGCGTACCAAGCGCCAACGAGAGATAGCATACGGTCAAGCAGGTAGCATGCTCAAGTATTTTCATAACAAAATTGTTGAGAACCCGTCGTTCCAATATGCACTCAAATGGATTGTAAAGAACAAATAACAAACATATTCTGTCTGAGGCTGGAGCGTTCCTTCTCCCACTATGTTTTGTGCTTCCTGAACGTGGGCCGCATCGAGTATATGGGCCGACCCAAGATTTGGATGGCTTATGTGATTATTTGCTACGTGTCGTCCAATGGCCGTCGGATGTCGCAGGAACGGCGCAACAACTTTGGACGTCCCTCTTACGTAGAGAGGAGTAGGTTAGAGGATCTCGTTCCGCCCCATTGGCCAATGGTACGGTTCAGGACTTGAGGTCTCAGGTATCGTGGTTCGGAAAAACGCACTCGGCCGTGACGCAACCGCCGCGACCTGGAAGTGGAACTCTCGCCCCGTCCGGTCGGTCGCACCTGTGAACTTCGCAGCGACGGCGATCGAGTACGGACTAGCGTGTACGCCCGCCCGCCGTACGCGCCAACGCTCACTTCAACGCCCCGGCCCGGGACGCACGTCAGCCGCGTGGAACTCCAACGCTCGGCGGTTGCCGTTGCCGGCAGCGGCAGCTTGAGTTGCCTTCTTGCCTCCGAGTCAGAGCTGAATTAAGCGCTGTCGTCGTCGTCGCCGCTGACCACGGAACAGCTGCGAGCCTAGGTTACCGGCTGTACCGTGGCCTGACCGGCTGACCCGTCGGTTTCGGCCTCCGGCCTCGATCGTCCTCTTTTTCCGGCGTGCGTATGATGCCGTACGGACGTACGTCGCCGCTCCGGCGTCCCGGTTCAGACTTCAGACTCCTGCAGAGTCCGGACTAGGACACTACACGGCCGATCGACGTGCCGGCACCGCACCACGAACCGAATCGGTCCATTCACATCACCACACGGCCTTTTTTTTCTTTCCTGTGGACGCAGGTTTCTTTCTCGTCGCGTATGGACCAGAAACTCGTCCGCACGCCGGCACGTCCACGTTGCCGATGACGGACGCCCATGCATGGGCATGGCTTGCTGGCTGGCTGGCTGCTCTCTGTTCGTGCACCGCGACAGGAGAGGGGGGACCCGTGGCAGGGGACAACGACGGGAGCCAGGCGACGACGGGGCTGCGGCCTGCGGGCTTTGGCGCGTGGCGACGACGCTGCCCGAAATGGACGTGCGGCGCTTTGGTCCTGAGACGGATCGTGAGACGGGGCGCCCTGACGCCACCGTGACGGCCGCATTGCGTGTGCGTGGCACTGGCACCGTTCGGTTCTTGCACAGTTGCACCGCCCAGGGCCAAAGCTCTGTGCTGTGCATATACGGCTGCCTGGCACAGTGACAACTGGCACGGGATGACAGCAAGAGGGCTGGATCATACTTGTTGGTTGGGGTGGCCATGATTACCGATAACCTAACCCGGACTAGTCAGAGACTGAAACCGATCGAGCTAACCAAATTCCGGTCACAAATCCGGCCTCCATTTGTAACTAACTGAATTATTTTTGGGATCGGTTGGTTAACCAATGAAAAAAAAAACTCAGGCCTACGGTGGACAGACAGCCCCCGCAGTTTTTGCGCCAGAAAGAAGATCTCTCACGTAGGCCGAGAAAACCCCTGATCTCCATGCCTCGCCCTCACACAAGGGCCCGTAACCCCGTGTGTTAGCCAGAACCTTTTTACCTGTACTTTAGGACGCGGGACAGGCAAGGAGAGTTTTTCTGCACAAACTGCGCATTACCACAGCTGTGCCCGCGGCAGCGAGGAGTCAAACTCCCGACCAAGGCCTTCCCACGACGGGGACGGAACCACTCGAGCTAACG